CGTAAAAAATGATTTTTCTAAATATGTTAATGAGCCACCCTTGTTCCATTTAAAAAAATTGAGATGTGATTAAAAATACGATTTGGACATCTTTTAACTGATCAGGACAAGACACGAAAAATATTAGACGATCAAATCTATTTTTCCAAGGCCCCTCGATTAAAAGTTACTATTTTTAAAACAGCCATGGTACTCAAGATTGAAATTTAAAATACGATTTTTTTTAAGAGAAATGTCAAAAATTGACCTGTGATATGTCATTCTATTCAGTGTGTTCATTTTCTATCGAATAAAGTAAAAATATACCGAAGGTACCATTTAAAAATCAAAAGTTATAGTAAGATATTCTTTGGTTATAGCCATTTCCGGTAAAACAGGAAGAGTCCAAAAACAATTAACGAATACGTCAATAAATCCTAATTTATGTCATGTACTAACATACCAAATCTCTAAAAAAAGCTACTAAATTCCAATAATTTGATTCTGAACAAAGCTTACCAATCAGTAATACCAAAATTCTCTAACACAGATTGCCACCTATTTCAGTCACTGTTGATGGCTCCGTATTATTAGACATAGTTTTTATAAACGCACTAAAATGTATTTATTCCTGTTAAATATTAAGGTAAGGAGGAACTAGTAGAACGACTTCAAGAACAAGAAAAAGAAGCTGAAGTGGTCGTCAATGAAGAATCAGCCAACCTGCAACAACTCCAAATGACCGTCCAAGCTGCCACCAAAGCGGCTCAGCAAGCCCAAACAGAACTGAAACTCTTACAAACCACCTTACAACTGGCTCAAGGTAACAATTGTATATGTGCATGCTTAAAACCGTATCTTTTGCAGCTCATTCAAATACATACAGGTAAAAAATAGTTCTAAACAGAATTTCACCGAAAAATTTTTGTGATTTGTTCCAGGAAATGCGGCCAATTCTCAACAGGCGCTGGACGGGTCTCAGCAACAGTTGCAAGACAAAGAGGAACTGGTTGAAGCTGCTAAATCGAGAGTGGAAGAACTGAATAAGATACTGCGTGCTTCCAAAGCTGAGCTGTCGAAAACGAAGGAATCTGCCAAGAAAGCTGAGCAGGCGGCCAGTGAGGCTAAGCAAGCTGCTGGAAGGAGCAAAAGGAATGTAAAAAGGAACATTAAAATTGAAGATGAAGAATCATAATATACATACACTTTATAGTTTTTATGTCTTTACTTGAAATATAGAAAACATAATAATATTTTTTATATAACACAATAAACTATAATTCGCTTTATCTACCGATTGAAAAATATTGCGTAAAATAAATTGATTGATTGGTATTATGCTAGCCCAAAAAATCTCGTTTAGCAATGGAACTAACTGTATAAGCCCAGTACTAAAGAATTTCATTGTATATTGTTTAGGTCAGATTGTTAACTACCTCCTCTCTTTTTTATTGAGAGATCAAGTCTAGTTGAAATGAATTTGTGCCAACAATAAAAATGCCTACACAATATACAGAGGAGATTAAAGCTGTGCCTATTGATAAGCACAACAATGTGGGCAGATCTTTGAACAATTCATAAAGTTATATCGTTAAAATTCAGTGTTCGCTTTACATGTACCTACGTATCAAATGGTACAGTAGACGCATTAATTTCTACATAAATATTTATATTAATTTTATAAACATTAATACGTATCGGGTCAAAAAAAATAATATAATGTGACTATTTCATCTAGCACAGTCACAACCTCGAATGGTTGAGAATCGGCTCATTCAATTTTTTCAAAACATAGGCAAGAATTAGATATTTGAATACTTAGTTTTCTTTTTGTATTTTTTAGTTAGAAGCAGTTCGAGAATAAAAAAATAAAATATCTATCAACATCCAATAAAAGACAGAGTGCGCTAAGGGTGTAGGTTGCCGGACCGAAGCCAGACTCAAGGGTGTATCAAGACATAAGGGATGACCCTGTACCTGAGTTTTTATATTAATAAATATTTTAAGCTGACTTAGAAGAGATCATCAGGTATTTCTGTATTTTCTAGTTCTTTATCCCAAGCAGCATTTGGACGTCGGGACAACGTTGTGTCACGCGACCAAACGTCGAATCGCAACGTCGTCACAACCTCTTGCCAACCTAGTCTGTACTAGTTTGGAGAATAATTTGGGTCGAAACAACGTTGGATACCGACGTTGGCTAGAAGCCTAATTTAGTACAAACTGCAACGTTGTTTAAAATCCTAATTCACAGAAATACAAAACTAATATGGCGTCTAAGTCGCGTTTTATCCTAAATTGGGATAATTATAGTAAAAATATTATATTTATAATTTAGTTAGAGACATATGTCAGATGGCAGTGAAGGAAAACAAAACAAAAGTATTTAAGTGTGGAGGATGTTTGAAGATCATAATTATTGAAACACTTTAACCGACTCTGTAACTCGTTACCCAAGGTAAAAAGTTAAACGCAAACAACTTTATTGATAAATGTATTGTTTCTACTTTAAAAAATACTAATGGGCCTTGAAATTAAAGAAGTTTTAAAAATTTTCTTGAATTTTTTTTTTAGTAAAATGAGAATAATTTATTCGCATTCGAAAAAATTGTTTCCGCGTATTTTTTAGGGTCAAATATTTCAAGTTAATGTATTCAAAAAGCAGGAATTGCTATTTTAAGAACGAAACATTTTCTTATTTAACAACATGGCGGCTTTAACTTTGTTGTTTTGGAGATTAAGATGGAGTAGTTCGAGTAGTCGCATACTGGACTAATAAAGTCGCAGTTCGGCCTTAACAGGTAGTATACTAGTCGCAAGATTGCCTAATTTAGTCATTCTAGAGTCTAGCTTGTGCCGCCCTCTATAATCTAAATAAACGAGGAAGTGTCGGTAATATATGTCGATGTATATTTAAATTTAGTTTTATATGTACCTTTCTTATGTCCCATTTTAATTAAGTTTTTTTTTTATAAAAACAAAAACAGCACTGAACTGTCTGACTGAACAGAACAATGAATTGAAAATTTAAGATTTAAGGTTATGGTTCAATACAGTTGCAAAAAGGTAGTGACTCTACGTCCTACCAACGTAAGAATAAGGAAATCTAAACAACGTTGGAATTAGTAAAACAGACGACGTTTGCATAACGTTGGAATAGGTCCTGAAACTGACGTCGGAAAACTCTATATTATCCAACGTTGTAACTACGTTGTCCGAATCACCTAAAGATCACTTAAGCAAAAAAGGTTACAAGACAACGTTTATTCGACGTCGCAGAAGCTTCTACTTTGCTGTAGTACTAGTCCAACGTCGTTATAAAAACGTTTAAATTTATTTTAATACCCAAGGTAGGGAGCTAACTATTTTTTGTAACTAATCCAACGTTGTGTTTAGTAAACATGTGGTCGCAAGTCATGGAAATGCTACTTGGGATCCACACCCTCCCTCCAGCTTCGTCGCGGCCTTCCTCTTTTATTTCTGCCTCGAGGTGTCCACAGTAAAATTTGTTTTGGTATTCTGTGATCGGGCATTCGTTGCGCATGACCAAACCATATGAGTTGTTTTGTTTTTATGTCGTCCACAATCGTGTGTTCTGCTCCCATAATCTCTCTTACTCTGTCTTTGGTTATTTGTTCTCTTTTCGATTTTCCAGCAGATCTCCTCCAGTAATCCACTTCGGTCGCTAATAAATAAATAAATAAATAAATGCCTTTATTGTCAAAAAATTTTTCAATTTGTAGACAAAGGTAAACTAACAAACAAAGTAAAAAAACAAGGTACACAAACAAACAAACAAAAGATAATACAAAACATTATACAAATAATATGGTCAGTCTTATTGTTAAAATAAACATTTATAAATGTTTACAATGTCAAAGAACAAAAAATAAAAATAATATTCAAAAATATTTAGTTAGTTTATAGTAAATATCAATGACCTCTAAATAAATCTATTTCGATGTCATTAGTAAATATAGCAATAGCAAACATTAGACCAGTGTTTACAAGATCAAATTCGATTTTCAAAATATAATTCATTTACGGCGTAGAAAGCCTTGTCTAGTAAATAAGAGTTCAATGCTTTGCGATATGAAAAAAAAATGATGTTATGGATTTGATTTCAAATGGCACGTGATTGTGCATTTTTTTCGAGTTGTATAATATTGAACTTTTAACTATCTCTGAGAGTGGGGTCGGTAGATAAAGATCTTGCTCCGCGTTCCTGAGTGGATAAGTGTGAGATGGCCTTTCTTGAGAAGCTGATACATGTTTACGTATTAGGCAAATGGATTCAAATATAAATAAGGAAGGGAGAATCAATATTTTTAATTCTTTAAAAAAGCCCCGGCAATGAGTTAAGCTGTTTAGTTCCAGTGAATATCGAACAGTTCTCTTCTGGAGCTTGAAAATACGGTCAAATTGAGTCGCACAACACGTACCCCAGAATGGAAGGGCATACCTGAGGTGCGACTCAAAAAGTGCATAATAAACAGTTCTAGCCATCTAACACTGACAAGTTAAGCTCCTTAGAAACAGACCTTAATGCAAAACAGGCAGAGCTCAATTTTTTCGACAAAGCTTCGATATTTATGTCCCATTTCAGAGAATTGTCCACAACAAGCCCTAAGAATTTTACAGATTTTTCGACGTCAATGGTGGTGTTGTTAAGTACAAAAGGCTGCAATGAGTTTTTATACGACAAAGCTTTAGTTTTAGAAATGTTGAGACTCAGGAGGTTCGAATCGCACCAAGATTTAATAGCGATTAAGTCATTTGATATAATCCTATGAAGTGCCGTGATGTCCTTGTTGCTCTAAGTGAAGCTAGTGTCGTCCGCAAAAAGACATATTTTGCCACTGATGTTTATGTTAGCAATGTCGTTAATAAAAAGAAGAAACAAAATAGGGCCTAGTACTGAGCCTTGTGGTACTCCACATTCTATTGGCTTGCTAGAAGACAACGTGGTATCCACCCTCACAAGTTGACTTCTGTTGCTCAGATGCGACTAAACCATTCAAGAGATGATCCCCTGAACCCATAGTGCTGCAGTTTATTAATTAGGATCTAGCATGTATCTAGGATAATAACATGTTCTCTGTTCTCCTTTTCAACCCTCCATACTTCGCTTCCGTAAGTTATTATGCTTTTCACTACCGTATTATATATGTTCTTCTTATTAGCTTTAGAAATTCCTTGATCCCAGGGTACACATTTTTCAAAATCCTTATTCAACAATCTTTTATTTGAGGTCAGCGAACTTCTAATTTTGTCTTCAAATATTTATTTAGTTGTATTCATTTTTTATTAACACTTTTCATATTTTTATAGAACCTACAAAAACATAAAATAAACTTTGTTTTAATTTTCTGCAATAGTAGGTCTACTCCTACTGCTCTTGTTTTTCAAGTGAAGCTAAAATCAAACCGTTAATTACATTTTCTAAATTGCTAAGAGACTCAAAGTTAGCCAATTTCGTTGCTGAATTATAAAGTTTTTTTTCTATTTTTCTTCATATCTGGCTAGATGATTAAGTTTCAAAAACTTACATTTTACACAACGATGAACATGAAAAGCTCTAAATAGCGGTTTACCAGCACTTGAAGCCTTTATGTGGTCTAAAATTTGTATTAAAAATATAATTTATAAGTAATTGAGTAAATAAATTACCAATATCTTGAAATTGACAAATTGTATTCTAGGACGTTACAAAATTATAAAATTAAATAAAGGAGTTAATAAAAAGTTGGGTTTAATTGAATGTTTTACTAATTTTCTTTTGATAAAATATTGACAATTTTGTGTTTTAGCATAAAAACAAGATCTCTTTTATACAGGGTGGCGCCTCTCATTTGACGCGGTAACTCAAAGAAGAACGGTACTTTATAACTTTATAACGAAATGAAATTTTGGCAGCATAATATGTAATTACATAAAATGATTGTCTTTTTCAAAAAATCTTTTCATTTTAAAAAGAGGAATATGTTGAGTTCTACCTCGAAAAGCAGCTACAATAAGTTCTCTCATGTTGTCGACAATAGTTGGTCGAGTTTTGTAAACACTGCCTTTAACATATCCCCATAAAAAAAACCAGACTAGATAAAATCAGGAGCATCAGGGCCAGTCAACTGAGATATACGACCTTGAACGATCTTTTTTTGAGGTAGTAATTTCCTGGGGCGCTAGATGGCGTATTTTTATTTTAATTTTTCTAGTTGCCTATCAATTGCGTACAAAATTGTTTTTATAGTTGCTTAAATAGGCCTATTAATTATGTTCTGTCACTGTT